ACAACAAAACCTAATAAAATTACTTCGTTGCTAGTTTAATCAATATTGTCAAAATTGTACTGATTAATTGGAAACTCATCAAAAAATATGCCAAAAATGCAAATTCAGAAAATGTTAAAATAAACCAAGGACCTACCGGTTTGCACCATGAACATTTTAAGTCCCTGTTTGATTTAATTAAAAAGGTTGATAAAAAATTAAATTAAAGTTAACAATTAATTTTAATCATATATTTTATTGAATTCACAAGTTTTATCAACTTTTCAACTACATAGGTCATTAACTTTTATCAAAATTAATTTACTAAAAATCTATTTTTAGTAAAATCAAATGGTTGCTTAAATAACAGTTAAATAAATAAATTGTTTCTCTAAATAATGTATAGTTGCGATAATTTGACACATTATTTGAACTAATGTTGTTAAATTAGACGAGTCTATAAAAACGATTCAACTATGCATATGATTGAAAATGAGTTTGAGGAAAAACGAGTTTTAGAAGATGGGGACATAATATTGGTAAAATAATTTTGCATAGTGACTCATTTTTTTTCCCGACTTTTTAACCACATCCTCTAAGAAAATTATTTTCCACAAATCTAATTTAAAAAATTTAAATTAGACAAGCCCTTTAGAACGGACCAAGAATAACATAATCTCTTGTGACATTTCATAAATACTGATATTCGATGTATATTCAAAGACTATATTCTCAACCTTATCACGGAGGAACAGTTGAGCCTAGGATGACATTTCGTAAATAAAACTATTCCCAAATAACATTATTTATAATAATGACATATCTGTAAGGGCAATAGCAACTTCAATTAGTATGCATGGCAAGTAAATCATGACCCCCTTGGCAACTCAGGAATTCTTCATTTTTGGATAAATCAGAATAAGGTTGTGAAAAACTTTTCCCACAAACGTCATCTATAAGGAAATTGAGCGTGTGCCAGGAAGAACCGCCGTCTTCGGTGGCGGCGCATGCAGTGTCTTTGATTTCCTCCACCTTCCTTTTCACCGCCTTACCCTTTTCCCCTTCCATTAACTCTTTCACCATTTGCTCCACCTCCTCCGCCGCCACGAACCCCCGGACAGACCCACTCGATGGCGTGATTCTCAGCCCTACACCGATTTCCTCCGCCACAAGTCTTGCATTCAGGTGTTGCTCCGCCATCATTGGAAATGCTAAAATTGGCACATTAGCAGATAAACTTTCAATAACTGAATTCCATCCACAGTGACTCAAAAACCCTTTTATTGCATTATGATTTAAGATTTCCATTTGATCAACCCATTCTTTCATTATTAATCCCCTTGTTTTCACTCTCTCTTCAAAACCCTTTAAAATTTCCAATCCTTTTGACCTCAAAACCCACAGAAAACTCACGTGGGATTTTTCTAAACCCTTAGCAATTTCATGTAATTGTTCTTCTGAAACTTCTGCCTGTGTCCCAAATGAAACGTATAAGACTGTTTCACTTTTTTCAGATTTGTCATCCAGCCATTGAATATACAGTGGTTTCTCCAGGGCGGCCGTAGAAGGTGGTTTTCCTAAACAGAGTGGCCCAACGCACCAAGCTTTTGGCCCCATTTTCTTATTCCAATAATCAACATAGCTTGATTCTAACTCATTAAAACTGTTGACAATTAAGCCATGGCTTTTCACCTTGGCAAGGATTTGCTCCGCCATGAAATCCACCCATTCTCCAGTGGGCTCAATCTCACAGAAAGGTGGATCAAAGTCATTTCTTGTCAACTTCAATTGAGGAAAATCAGGTATCAGAAATGGACTATCCGGGGAAACTGCTCCGGCATGTGGCCTATCTCTACCCATTATTTGATACATGGTGGTGGAAAAAATTCCCATGCCGGAAAAAACCAGCCGAGGAATCCCAAATCTTGTAGCAGA